AAAAAAAAAAAAAAAAAGCCTCCTGACCTAAATGCAGGGACTAAAGAGTGTGCACCACTGTGTCTAGCTCTGAGTGGCCTTGAGTGTCCTAAGCACACTGCTATAGAGCCCTAGCCCTAAACTTATAACTGATAGGTAAATCTCAAGTTTTACCATTTCCAAACTGCTCCTTGGTGCTTTCCGGAGAGGGCTTCCTGACAATTCTGAGTTCCTCTTGGTCTTACATCTATTCAATTCTCCCACTTCCTCTTCCTGCAGACACTGAGACCACAGAGGTCTTGCAGCATTAGTGACTGATCTCTACTATCTTGAATGTGATTCATGGGAGAGGGGGGTTCCCTGCCACCTACTCTTACTGTAAGTGTTCTCCAGAGAATTCTGCTTTAAATCTACGTAGCAGATCTACTTCTTTTATTATTTATTTCTCTCTCTGTGTGTATGTGTGTGTCATGGTACAGGTGTGGAGGTCAGAGGAAAATTGCAGAGTGGACTCTCTTCTTCCACCTTTTGGGTTCTAAGGATTAGACTCAGGTCATCAGGCTTGGCAGTAAGCACCTTTAGCCAATTAGCCATCTTACTGGCTCCTCATAGTTTTTTTTGGTTTTTTTTTTTTCTTTTTTTGAGACAAGATCTTATGTATTCTAGGCTTCCTTGAACTTGCTGTGTACCTGAGGATGACCTCGAACTTCTGATTCACCTATCTTGTGAGTGCGGGAATTATAGGTATGATACCAAGCAAGCCTAGTTTATGCAATGTTGAAGATCAAACCAAGGTTTCTTGCAGTCTAGGCAAGCACTTTACCAACTGAGCTAGCCCGAGCCCTAGTTGCTTATTTCTATGTAGGAATTCTGCGACATGAACAACTACATGACATCACTGAAGAATCCCTGGAGCTTACCTAGGACATTTTAATTCAAAGAATGAAAATATCCTAATAGATCTATAAAGAAAAACATACTAGCATAAATAACCGTTTATGTAAAGAATGAAGGGATGAAGAAAAGGGACACTTGGTGTGAACTGTCCACAGTTCATACAGAAACTATTACAGGGAAAATAGGGACCTGCCCTTCTGGGACCATCACTGAAGCTGCAGTCACCAAAATGAAATTCAATCTCTTTGTGACTTCTGACCGGAGCAAGAACCATAAAAGCCTTTTCAACGCACCTTCTCCCATTTGGAAGATTATGTTCTCCCCTCTCCAAAGAGCTGAGACAGTTCAGTCTACGCCCATTCAAAATGATGACAAAGTTCAGGTTGTACAAGGGCACTGAAAAGATCAGCAGAATGGCAAAGAGGTCCAGGCTTACAGCTAGAAATAGTTCATCTACACTGAGCAGATGTGGTGAGAAAGACTAATGACACAGCTGCCCATGTGGGCACTCACCCCAGCAAGGTGGTTAGCACCAGGCTAAAGCTGGACAAAGACCACAAAAAGATCCTGGAATGGAAAGCCAAATCTCACCAAGTAAGAAAGGAAAAGGGCAAATAACAAGGAAACAAACATCAAGAAGATGCAGGAATAAAGTGTCTTATATCTGGCTTTCATTAAAAACTACTTAGATGAAAAAAGAAAATAGGGACCAAATACAGACATTTCATTAGATTTTTCCAGACTTTTTCAAACCAACTGCATTTTGCCAAATGCCAATGTTCTCCTTACAAAGTACACAGTCTTCTATGACAGTGAGTATGAACCAGGACTATTCTCCAGCTGCAGATGCTGTCAGGTTACACAGCCAGCTTAAGCTGGGTGTGGTGGTAGTCACCTTTAATCCCAGCACTCAGGAGGCAGAGACAGGAGGATCTCTGTGAGTTCCCAGCTATCCTGGTCTACATAGTGAGTGTGAAGTAAGCCAGGCTGCATAGTCAGACCCTGCCTGAAAAATAAATAAATAATAAATAAATAAATAAATAAATAAATAATAAGGAGATTGGAGAGATGATCCAGCAGTTAAGAACACTGGTTACTCTTACAGAGGACCTGGGTTTAGTTCCCAGCACCCACATGGCAGCAACAACCATCAGTAAGTTCAGTTCCATGGGATCCAATACCCTCTTCTGGCCTCTGCAGGCACTGCACACACATAGTGCATTTATATACATGCAGGTAAAGCATTCATACATATAAAATTTTAAATTTTTAAAAATACCTAAAAATAAAAAAAACAACACAACTGGCTGGCTGAGCTCCTTGGGCCAAATGAGCCCACTTGTCTTCCACCTGTCCCACTGTCACTTCTGGCCTCCAGCTGGTGCTTTCTCATTAGTACCCAGCTCCCCTGAGCACAATGACCAGTGCTAGGGCTCCCGAGAAACAAGTCTGGGATTCTTGACAAGACTAGTGACCTTAGCCAAGTTAGTTTACATCTATTTACCCTTGGTTTCCTCATCTTCAAAGTCGAAATACAATAATACCAAAATCATAAGATGTGTATTCTGAGATAGTGTATTTTGGCACTGTACCTGGCAGAGTTAAGGCTCAATAAACATCAATTTTTGTTTGTTTGTTTGTGTTTTTGGTTTTTTGAGACAGGGTCTCCTAGACCCCAGCAAGTCTAGAACTCACTAAGCAGACAAGACTGGCCTCAATCCCACAGAGATCTACCTGCCTCTGCCTCCCAAGTGCTGGAATTAAAAGACATGTGCCACCACATCTGGCTAATAAATATTAATTCTTATTACACATCACCCAACATCTCTTTCCTCCAAACATAGAAATAGTTTTAGAATACTAGGTAGCTATTATCTGAACAGAGTGAGTTCCTGTTGTAAACAGTTCAAAACAGAACAGCAAAAAATCACTATATTGGTTTGAGTGTTCAAAATAGGGTTTAGTTCCCAGCATCCACATGGCATAATTCCTGTTTATAATTAAAGTAGTTTTGGTTTTTTTGTTTTGTTTTCTTTTTTGTCTTTTTTGAGACAGGGTCTCCTTGTAACCCCAGCTGTCCTGGAACTCACTATGTAGACCAGGCTAGCCTCAAACTCACAAAGATCCACGTGCCTCTGCCTCCCAAGTGCTGGGATTAAAGGTGTGTGCCACCACGCCCGGCCCGTTTTATTTTTGGTTCTTTGAGAAAGGGCTTCACACAGTAGCTCAAGCTTGCCATGAACTCCCAATGATCCTCCTGTCTCAGCCTCCCAAGTACCATGGTTATAGTTATGAAGTTACCACAGCTAGCTAAATAAGTTTTAAGTACTTCTGTGTACAGGCTTATTCTGAAGGCATGAATTTATGATGCCATTTGCTTCTAGAAATAATCCCAGCGGATGCAAAGACAGTTGGATCTCTATGAGGTCCAGGTCAACCTGGTCTACCCAGGAGCTTCAGGCTAGCCAAGACTAGACAGCGAGACCCTGCCTCAAAAAAGGAAGAGAGAGAGAGAGAGAGAGAGAGAGAGAGAGAGAGAGA